ATCATCAACATGTTCTTACAAACACACCAGCTGCAAGTAAATGTTGACATAAATGTCTGAAGCAGTTGTTGTTGGTTAAAGAAGATAAAGTTCTTACCATAAACTTGGAGGCAGGGTGTACCTGTGAAGGAGCCTTCAGGATAAGTGTTAAACAGACAGTGATAGCATCCTTGATCCTGCACCGTCACGTTCCTGATGACTATGGAGCAGTTCTGCAGTCCAGTGTATTTAAACTCAACTTTATCTTTAAAGCCATCATTGACTCTCTGACCAAACTGCTTGCTGTAGGTGGCAACATTTGTCTCCACATCATGTGAGATTTTCTGCCATGTGACCTGAAGGACGTCTTTAGTCTCCAAGAGCTGACAGCTGAATTCAGCATCTTCTCCCACTGCTGCCAGCACAGTCTGCTGTGTTTGGATCACTGCTGTTAGAGCTGTAGGAGATACAGTTTGAGAAGTCAAGAACTTCCAGAAAAGTAAACTGTCATTATCATGTCACTCTTATTAAGTCCGGTCATTGTCCTAAAGGAATTTTTTTATACCTTTTTCTAAATTCAAATTCCAAATTTACATTCGTTTTTTTTTTACCACTATTGTGTGCATAAATGTTTAACTATTGTGAAATGTCCATCTTTCTTAGAGGTCAAAGGTCCAAACCATGGTTTTTATTATTTATTTCAAGTATATCATAATACATTTGTGTGAGTTTATTAGCAATAAAAATATTTTTCAAAGGCAGTAACTTTTGTGATGATAACAGAAACATAAAGCAATAAAAAGAAAGAAAGAAAGTTCTGTGGGTGATGACCAATGACTGTTTTCTACAGTTGTCCATCTACAGATGTCCATAATAACGCGTAGACATAGTGACGTGATAGCTTTGTACCTTAAAAGCTGCTGGTAGCTGCGTCTGCTTTTAAAATGACAAGCAGCAAAAGTATTTGAAGAATCTCAAACTGTAGGCTGAGCAAAATCCTTTACACAACCTTCATCTTGCTGAACGTAACCTTTCTCTTTTCTTTTGTTTGATACAATAATGAGTGAAAGTATAATAATAAATCGGGTTATTTACACTCTGCGCTATTGAAGTCACGTCATGCAAAATCAACTTTTCCTGTAGCTCCTTTCAAATTTAAAACGCTGTAAAAGAAACACTTCGTTTCTTAGCAAGGCGTTTATTTGAAATTTGACGAACTCGTGTAATATCACACTCAACGCTTACCCACTGAAAAGCGGTTCCACAATTCAAATTATACGAAAAAAAAAGAGTGTAACACGTCCGTGTGGTCTAGGGTGACCAACCGTCCTCACGCCTAATGATGTTTAAAAGATCCCAAAGCGCAAGTGCAGCTTTTCAGACGAACTGCAAAAGAAATTTCCCTCGTACCGACCCAGTACTGGTATTTTTTCTTATGCAGATGAGGCATTATTTCTGTACCATTATTTAATCCCAGAGGCTTTTAAGTTATTTTTTGCACTTGTTGGCTTGTAAAAGCCTATATGACATATTTTATTCCACAATTCATTAACCGCACGGAGAAGGCATCGTTTAAATATGTTATAAATATGTTTCTTTAAGCAAGTTCTTCATGACTGAGTCAAGTGTCCTCTTTTTTTGGAGATAAAATAAGATCACCCTAGTATGGTCACATACACAGACGTAGGTATTCTGGAATAAAAGTTTCTTCTTACCTTTGTCAAAGACTCCAAAAATAATAACGGCAGTGATATAATGTGTAATTCTAAGCTGTGGCATTGTTGCTCCATGCTGTACCGCCAGAAATACCGCCAAAGCTGCACAGTATATGGTTGCAAAAGAAACCGCTACTACTTCCGGGTAAATTGTTGTAACAATTTCTGTAATGTATGTAGAGAAGCAATAATGCCTGATGATAAAACACATATTTCATGATTATAAGGACATAGTAACAGAATTTTTCAGTAACTGATGGTTACTTATTACTTAAAAGTGCAATAACATACAGCGCAGTTGCCTTTATGATCCCCCTGTATGATAATAGTACAGTCCAGAATCATATTATCTTTTATTACATTTCACGTGGTTTAAAAAAAAAAAAAAGCATTTCTGTCACAAAGAAAAAAGAAATGTTAGAATTTTCTCTAAAGTCATGTTTTCAGATGGGATATTAAGCTAGAGGACATTTGTTGTGAGAGGTCTCTCTGTGGAAAGCTGTTATATTCTCATCTATTTACAACTAAATTGCAGGTTGTTTGTGTAGATCCCGAAGTCTTTCAGCTGCTGAACACAGATGTTCATCAAAACCAGCTGCACACCGTAGTGTAAAGTTACCAGATAAACTGAAACGAAAAGAAATTAATATTGAATACATGATATTCTCATGTGAGTCAAGAATACTATACAAATGAAACATACTATAAATATATATTTATTCTACTGTTTCACAAATCCTTTGTTTTGTTATCTTTCTACAGTTACACGCATAATTCCTTTTAAAATATGGCATTCCCCTTTAGAGAGAGGTGCCAAACATTCATAATAAATAAATATAGATATATATTTAATGATTCCAAAATAAATCAATAAATCACACACTTAAATAAATCAACACTGAGCAGCCCGGTGGTTAGCTGTTGCCGCACAGCAAGAAGGTCCTGAGTTCAATTCCACCATCAGGCCGGGGTCTTTGTTCTCCTTGTGTTTGCGTGGGTTCCCTCCGGCTTCCTCCCACCGTCCAAAGACATGCAACTTGTGGGGATAGGTTAATTGGATAATCCAAATTGCCACTAGGTGTGAATGTGAGTGCGAATGGTCGTCTGTCCCTGTGTGTTGGCCCTACGACAGACTGGCGACCTGTCTAGGGTGTACCCCGCCTCTCGCCCTATGACAGCTGGGATACCCCCCCTTCCTGAAAAGGATAAGCAGAAGCGGATGGATGGATGGATATATTTAATGATTCAAAAATAAATTAATAAATCACACACTTAAATAAATCAACACTGTCGCCCATTTTTTAAAATTTAAAGTAACATGATGGCCCAAAACAAAACATAAACAATTATATGCAGTATATGTATTTTTTACATATTTGATTACTTCTCTAACCTAGAACACTAAAAAGAACAACAACATGAAAATATGCACAGTGAAAACAAACAGACATATTTTTCATATTTACAGTATGTTACATAATTACAGACACGGTACAGTTGTGTAAAAAATTCATTATGGTAAACAGAAAGTTAATTAAGCCCCAGTATGATGATTTATTTTGGTGTAGTCCTTTGTTTTTGTTCAGGATTGAACTTCTTTGTTGTTACCGTCGTTGTGGAAGTTTTCCATTAAATAAAGCCTGCAGACAAGTGGTGAGCGGTAGCTAACATTCTTTAATCAAAACTAAGAACAGAAAGCTAAGCTAGGTGGAGAGACGGTCAGCAGAGTCTCTCAGGCTACGTCCACACTAGCCTGGATAGATTTGAAAAAGGCGTTTTCATCACACTAGTGTTTTCAGTTTCACAGAGTTGTGCGTCCACATTGAAACAGCCGAAAACGCTTATGTTCCAACACTGCGCATGCGCAAAAGCGAGTGTTAATTAGAAAATTTGAAGAAAAGCTATCTGGAGCATGTACAAACTGAATCTTTTTTTAGGGCTGTCAAAATTGAGAGCCATCAAAACAACTGCTGTATAATGCACTCCGCTATCTTTGTTTAATTGGTCACATGACTGCATCACATGACTAAAATGCGTCCTTCGTTTTAGAAAGTCTGCGTTTTCGGGAGAGTTTTCAAAAGTCTCAGTGTGGACACGAGGCCAAAACGGAGAAAAACGATGCATTTTCAAACTAAAACACATTAGTGTGGACTAAGCCTAAGAGACAAAAGACTCTTCCTGTGGAGTGGTCTGCTTCCCCCCAACTTCCTTACCAGGCCCCCACCATCTGTCGAACTGCATGAATGTGAAACATGCTAAAGTCCAGTGGCACTAAGGCAGTATACAATTAATTAATGTGAATAATACATAAATAAAAGAAGTTCTTATACACCATCTTGTGGGATACTTTCTGTCATTCAAATCTTTGTTTCAGTTTTCATCAAAAATGAGTCTTCTTGCAGGTGCTGATGACAACACTTGGTTATGATTTTGTTCAGTTTGCTCAGGAGTCTCTTGTCTGACTTCCCTGTACTCTTGTGTATCAGTCCTTAAAATGAGAGCAAACAAAAAAGTTACATTTTTTAAATATTACTGTATGATTGAGAATAAAGTTACAGCAAAGTGTGAGAACATTTAAAAGATTGAAAGTGAAATGTGACAACAGAGGCTGAAAGTTCCAGTTGTACATTCACAGGATAAAGAGTCACTTACTCCTCAGTGTCTCTGTTTGCAGTTTCAGGTGTTTCATTCGACTGAATCGCCATGTGTGAAAGACTGGAAAATGTAAGAAATGTATTAGATTTATTATTGCTAATAAACTCACACAAATGCTTTATGATATACTTGAAATAAATAATAAAAACCATAGTTTGGACCTTTGACCTCTAAGAAAAATGGACAGTTCACAATAGTTCTGAAAGTTCTTGACTTCTCAAACTGTATCTCCTACAGCTCTAACAGCAGTGATCCAAACACAGCAGACTGTGCTGGCAGCAGTGGGAGGAGATGCTGAATTCAGCTGTCAGCTCTTGGACACTAAAGACGTCCTTCAGGTCACATGGCAGAAAATCTCACATGATGTGGTGACAGTTTCCAGTTAAGTTTGTTGTATTAATCGTTCGAGTTTTTCCAGCAGTAAAGCTGCAGTTTTGAGTTTACTCTCTGCGTATCAGTCCCGTGTTTGGGTCCAACATCCTGTCTGCCACACAGACAAACCATGACTATTTCAAATCATATTATTTTCCACTTCCACACTGAGAAGCAAAATTTTGAGCTCAAACTGAGTTGATCAGCTTTGTGAATCTTAAGTACCGGTAACTTAACTTATCAATTGATTTCTAATAACAAGTTGATATAAAACTGAGTTCAGTCTACTTAATATTTGTAATTAAATACAATATGAGATTTAACAGAGTGGAAATTATTAACACAAATCATAGTTTTTATTTAAACCTCTTAGAGAAAATAAAAGCTACCATTTCAATTATTTGACAGGTAATAATGGTGAAACATTCATATACACAATCTTGATACAATAATAAAGAAAATTATGAATTTATGCAGAAAAACTGAAAACAGCTTTTCAGAAACCATTCAGAGTTTCAGAGACTGTGTGTGTTTCACTTCTCCTATCTCAACATTCAATCTCAAACGATGTGGAGACAAATTTCGAAACGGCTTTAATGATAAAGTCGAGTTTTTATACACTGGACTGCAGAACTGCTCCATAGTCATCAGGAATGTGATGGAGCAGGATGAAGGCTGCTATTGTCTGTTTAACACTTATCCTGAAGGCTCCTTCATTAGTAGAACCTGCCTCCAAGTCTATGGTAAGTTCTTGAAACAAACATAGTGGACATAAATGTGTCAGCAGCTGGTGTGTTTGTAAGAACAGGTTGAAGATATTTGCTGCACAAAAATCTATCAGGACAACATGCAACATAGACGCGGTTTAAGAGGAGTACCTGTTCTGAGATTTCTTTCTAAGCCAGACAAAGATGAGAACAGCGAGCACCAACACCACAGAGGATAAAGTCACTGAAATCCTGATTCCTTTAAGACAAACAGGAGAAAAAGTTATAAAAATTTGGACATCTATCGAAACAAAATAGGAACAGGAAAGCTGACTTTAAAACATACAAATGTCAACACACCTAAATTCCTGGGATTAGATCCTGATTTATCATCAAGACCTGGTAGAAGAAACACAAACATTACAATCACAAAGTAATCATTAATTTATAAATAAATGACTTCAAGAGTTTCTCACCATCATCATCATCATCATCATCATCACCACTACCATCATGAGGAATCGTCACCATCACCTCTCTGTGAGGAGCAGAGAGCACTCGTGCTGCACATCCCACCTGTGTGCTGTGTTTACGTGAACCTGAG